TAGATCCCAAAATTCAAGTGGCTAGTTTAGAGATGATTTTTTTATGTCATTCTGTGAGACACTTAAATAATTTAGAATTAGAATCAGAAAATACACTTGAGGAAAGATGAACTCTATTATAACTGTTTGTACTGCCACATGAATGCAAGTCCTGTTAAGGTGCCACCCCAAAATTTATGGGATCTTCGGCACAGTGCACAATGACAACAGTTTTCAAGCGTGCAATGGAGATAACTGAGTTTTCTCTGAAAATGAAAGCTACATGTCATTTATTTTAAAAGTGGTACATAGAAAAGGATTTGCCTTTACCAGAAAAAAAGCATAATAATTAATACCAAAAAACCTCATAGTAGTTTATATCTAGCACTTACTGCTTTGATCAACATATCTAAGTCTTTAGGTTCAAACGTGTCAGGATTCTGATGGTTCAGGTGCTCAAACTGTTTAAGGAGAGCCTGATGGTCTATGCCAGTGTCTGAAAGAACAAGGTACACATGTAAAACATTACAGTAAGTTTGAAATCAAGCGAGATCAGAAGTTAAAACCTTTCATACAGGAGCTTGTGCCTTGTAAGCACCTGAGGCTCCCTGAGGACTGACTAATTTTTTCCCCTGCTGAAAAAACTATAGCAACAATTCTAAAGTTGCTTTTCCTGAAGGAGATTGGACAACTTGATAGCAATTTGCACTATGTTCCTTCTGATGTGTCAGTGTTGCATTGCACACAATAATTTAACACGCGCAAATTAAGCCTTGTGTTTCAGAAAGGAAACGTACAATCAATTTGAGCTTCTCAAACTAAGAAAAACATCTTATTCCCTTTTATATAAATGAGATAGTTGAAGTTATATGTAGTATCAGAGCTAACAACTTGCATCTTTTTCCTGAACTGGGAGAAGTCTGACTCTTCCATTGCCCTGTATGTTTTGCAAACTACTTATATCTGGTCAAAGATGTATGTACAATATGGCATAAAATTGTATCAAATCAGATAAGCAGACATTCAAATTTCTTTTGTGCAAAATCAGAAGTGCAAGGCAGTGGAGAGTCAAGTCCTGTGTCTAAAAGTTGCAAACATTTCTCTCTTCCTTATGACAGGAACTATACCTAACAATATCAATACACAATGCACTAACAACAAAACACATTTCTACAACAGGCTTTTCTCGCTGTTACCATGGATTCTGACTGCTCATGCTAGGTAATATGCTATCTTAAGCAGCATACACTTTGATACGTTATGTATAACAATTTTGACAAGATTCTACTAGATGGCTTAGCAAAGAATACTTTATTTGTTTAAAAAAAATGGAAAACACAATTTTGAACATATTATTCTTTGGTAAACTATCTGTCTTACACCAAGTGCTGCGAGACAAAACTGTGAGCGCTGGGGCAGATTTCAACCATCATTCCTCCCTGGTGAGACCATAATTTCTGTTGAAATATGTGCACCTTACCCTGGTTTTGAAGTGTAATAATAGGCTTTTTTTAAAAAAAAAAAAAAAACACAACAAAAAAAACACTCAAAAAAAGCCCTGCCTCCAAACCCATTTTCCTCCATTCCTTATATTTATGGGAAAAAAAACTCATTCAATTTGACAGTATTTACTTGCTACTTTACTGTATCATCTGAGACTCAAGCCCTAACATTCTTCTGTCCTGTACTGATGAGTCTAGTGGGATCTTGGTGCAACGTTTAAAACCACATCTGGATCAGGACTGAATATATGCAGAACATAATCTCAAGTCTGTTTGTTGTTTTGTTTTTTTGTGTTTTTTTTTTTTTTTTTTTTTAAACCTGATCCATCTGAGAGGGAAGAAAATGGGGGTTTGTGTGTTTTGGTTTGTTTGGAGTTTTTTTGATAAGATAGAAAACCAAGATACTAAGTGGTATTACAGGGAAAAGATTAACAGAATAAATAAAAGGAAATCAAACAGCTCTGCCTGCTGTTACTATGGAATGCTCTTCTGTACATGTTCCAAGATGTTGCATAGGTCTACAGATGCAGCTGTATTTAATAGTTAATCTGGCCATACTTGTTGTGTGTAGTGACAAGTACTTGCTGGTAGGGCTGATTATGAACTTTACAAAATGTTTTCCCACTCCCAATGTTTTCACATCTTAGTAGTCATTTGAATATTTTGAACTGGAATAATCTGTTCTTGCTCTTTCCCAAATGTAAGATCTCACACTTACACTGTAACAGATCTGATCTGTTGGGGGGAATTATTTTTCTAAAGCATGTTCTGTTAGTTACTCCTGATTTATGGAAGTAGAGAGGGCTAGAAGCAATCAGTCCATTAAACCATTAAAAAATTTCAAAATACACAAAATTACTATGTAGACGATTAGGTATGATTAGCTGCTGTCAGCTAGCTCGCTATGACTGTTACTATGATGTCATTGGACCGTTTGCCTGCAATAAGAGTATGAGATGAGGTTCTTGACAGCTAAAGAGCCACCTGAGGAAGATGAACATGGGGTCTGGCAGGTATGTGATGCAATGCTCTGTCTCCTATGGACGGGCTACTGCTGGTTTGCACTGTCTAGCTACCAGTGGACTGCACTCTCTGGACTAGAACTTTCATTAAAAGAAACCAAAGGACAGAAAGGTGACCTGACACCTCAGCCAACTCTGTAATTATACTGTCGTAGCACCTAGAGACTTCATTGGAAAGGTACTACACTGTAAATATCTTTTTTCCCAAATTAATCTGATGCTTTCCTGACCCTAGTAACATGCACATGAACACATATTTGCATATGCATACTTCTTCAGTCTACTTGCCACCTCTAAATTCAGCTTAGTCCAGAAGACAGAGCCTTATTCTTGGAATATTTGAAATTGATACATTACTTATTCAATTCAATGTGATCCCTTCCTACAACTTGCAAATGTTTTTAGTAATAAAACGATCTGTATAGGCATATTAAGCCCTTTTTATTGGAGCTTCTTTGTGAAAAACAGCATTTCAGAAACAAAATCATACAGTCCATCATTAGGATCTCTGTTTATGAGCAATTAATTATCTTTGAAAAGAAACCATCAATAAGAAATTTACAGAATTAGTTCTAAATGTAAACTTTAAAAATTCTTTGGTAATAAGAAATAAAAAGGGATCGCACCATTTCCCACACCAACATACAGCAATCAGAATCATTACAAACCTGTATACTTTATTTGTTAAAAGGAATTGCCTGAGCTTGTACGACTTCATCAGTAATTAAGAAAATGCTATGGAGACTTTTTTTTACTCCAAATCTTTTTCTTTATTCAGAAGCTTAAAACTGCCCCCCAAATAAGGAAAATAATCTTATGAACTGAAATGTTTAATGTTTGTTATGAATCTGTACAATAACTTTAATTGGTGGAAAGGGGGCTTAAAAAGAGAAAAAAGAAAACTTTTGTGTTAACTGACTGTAAAAAAAAAAAAAAAATTTCTACCCTGTAAAGACATGAAATGCTACGTCATGTTGTATTCTTAAACATAGTCCTATACTACGTTACTAGTTCTCAGTAGGTAATCTATAAATTGATGCGCTACAAAAAAAAAAAAAGTTGAAAAAGATTAGAAGTATCTGAAAATTCCACTGCCAGAATCAAGTTTAGTTATTTATAAAATACAGATGGCTTTTCTCTTCTCTCCAATTTCCTATAATGACAGGTCTTTACTGGTCCTAGGCCAGCTCGGAAATGACACTCACTTTCAGCTTATAGTTGTTACTGTTGACAACAAACAAAGCGTAACTGATGGATTTTGGACACCTCTCCAACACAATCCCATCTGTATCTGTTAACTCACCTAGTTAAATTTTGTATTCTTACCTTGGACAGAATCCATTTTAGCTTTAATTAACATTCTTAATCTTGCCACCTCTTGTCTTTTTAGTTCATCCAGCCGTGTTCTCACATGGTGGCTTACTAAATCAAGCTCTCTGCTTAGTTTTCCACTCTGTTAAAAACCAAAAGTTATGCGTTAAAACTAGAGGAAAGTAGCCTTTAGGATTCCCATTAGACATGGGTTGAAAGACAGGAGACTAGTTGCAGCCTTTTGCAATACTCTAGCCCACATTATAAGAATCTCAACATTTTTTCAAAGAGCAGATTCAAATTATTTTTAAGCTTAGGGTGATAGAAACAGGGAGGAATCCTAAAAGCTTTCTGAAAAGAGAATTTCTAAGTATCTTGCTCCTCCAAGAGCAAAAGCATGACCTTAAAGCAGCAATACCTTATAATGTTTAAGAAGCGACAAATTTCTTACTCAAACGTTCTCGAATTAGTTCAAAAGAACTGAGATGTACACAAAGTGCTGTGTTCTTCATCCACTTGATGACGGCGGCAAGACTTGAGAGAAGGTACAAGCACAGCAACTGCCACCAATTTGTATTGCAAGAATGTTTATCAGGATCTGGAAATGGATAGTAACCTTCAAGGGTTACACTAGATGTACCACAGAAGAAAAAGGAGACAAAAGCTGCCAATGGCAACATGAGGGATTAAAGCAAATGCAAAAGGCAGGATCTCCTCTTTATGTCTATCACTTTAGACTATTTCCTACCTGTCCCTTGCTGAATTTCTAGCTCATAAAGGGAATAGAGAACAGCCACCACCTAGAGCCAGTAACTAAAGCAGAAAAGACAAGAATGTGGTTGAGGTTTTGGAGAGAGTTATATGTGGACTGGCACAAAGGAAAGGACAGCAGCAGAGAAAGCCAGAGGTCTATTTTATTCCTATATACACTGACTTTTCCTCCTCACATTTCCTCAGTCTTTAAAATCTGACTTTCTTGTAATTCTCTTCCATGTCATCATATTCATTTGTGACACTGCCTTAATCTCAGAAGGCAGATACACCTGTATGTCCAAAACAGTGTTCCCAGTAACTCGGCAGGCAACAGCAAGTGAGAGCTACGCTTGCAGCTGTCTTGATGTACATGAAGGTTTACCTACCTGTATGGAGTCTGAAACTGGCTTTTTAGGAGATAGACAGCAACTATGCATTCAAGTATAAGTTGTTGGGGATTTTTTTTATGCTATGGGATATTCTTTAATGAACAGAACTTCTCCTGTCCATTGACTAAACACAAAGATCTAATAAGAGTTAAATACTTAAGTAAATAAAGATGAGATTAAATTTAAGCTCACAAAATTGAGAGGAGTATGAAGAAAGAAAAGGAAGAAAGAATACGACATATGGCTCATGATGATGGATTTACTCACCTTTATTTCCTCTATGTCAGCTGTCTGGAGTTTCTCCCTGAAATGCTTATCTGTTTCCAAGACATCTATTACTTGCCTGAGATATTCATCATAATAAAGTCCTGTATCCTTCAAAAAAAGAATGTGAAATTGAGAAAAGAATATACTACCAAACGTTTTTTAAATACAATGATTAAACTGAAACTCAAATCTCAGCAACACAGGCATTATACTCTCTTACATATCTTGAGTTTTTCTGATTTGCATCATTGCCCCATAACGACTTACTCTTATGAATTCATTTGTTTTCAGTAACTGATAAGGAAGAGGATAAGTGTTTAGGAATCCACGTCATACACAAGCATCTGCCACAATATAGTTTCTAGGGTTTTTCCAAAACAGTGCAATTTATTCATTACTGTTCTATTTGAAACACTAAACTGGAATCACTGAGTGGAATTTCCTAAGCCATTGCTCAATCACTTGAAAGAAGCCTCTGTGGAACAGTAAGCATTTGTTCCTATTGTAAGCTAAAGAATTCCTTCCATGCACCACCTCACCTTTAGCAGCTCATGGGAAAAAAAATAAAGAGAACAAATTTAAATGAACCTTATCATAGTAGATGGTAGACTGTACAACAATACTGGCTAATATTAGTTTCCTTCCTGCAAGTAACTCCAGTAAAGAACATCTAAATTTCAGGAAGGGAGTTTTCTATAACCAGATTACTAACAATTAGGAAAAAATACTTAAATTAGATAAATTTCATTACACTTACTGGATTTTCGACCTTCTCCCCTTCTACATGGCCTTCTCCTTTGACTTTTGTCTTATCTATGTCTATAGGTACAGCTTCCAAGGCCATTAGGAGACATGTCATCAGCAAAATACACTGTTGAGGCAGGACAGATAGCCACTTCATCTGAAATAAGACCAAGTCACAAAAATTAACATAAATGGTGTTATCATACTGTACTCATTAGAATTTATTGACATTCCTACGTAGATATCTGTAATAACCCACTTCCCACGGGTTCTACTGCTCTCAAGGAACACAGAAACTCAAAGAATTAAATACAGCTTTAACTTTTAAAAGCCATTATTACACAAGCAGATTTCGTCAGATTATTTCCAGCTGTGTGGCAAACCTAAATTGTACTATAAACAGTGAGAAGTTTTTAACATGTTGAGGTATTATCAATGGCTCTGCGGAACCGGTGGGAAGATCCAATGCTCATACGCTTGTTTAGGATGGCCAAGTCTTGCACAACAACTACTGACATTCCTACTCTGATCATGTCTTTAGGAGTTTGCCAATAACTTCAGCAAAGATAATCATGGACACTGAATCAGATCTTACTGTAGTAATGTAGTTCTTATGTTTCAGCAATGGAATAGTTTGCCTAATTTGGAGTCAAGATCCCCTCCAAAATTCATTTGCAGGAAAAATATTTTACAATCCATGTTATATCTGTATTTCACTTGGCGGAGATTGTTGAGAAAAGCGTTCACACCACCTGAAATTGTTGCTGAGGCTGGGGCTTTATTAAGCCAGTATGCCCTAGACTTTCTTTGGTGTCTTATATGGGGCTAACTCACACATAGTTTAATGAGCACCAAGCTCTGTCTTCTCCCCCTCTACCAAAATTTGGTTGAAAATAGCTCAATTCATTCAGAAACTGGTAAGATGGAATGCTTAAACAATGTGAGTACATGAAATCCAGCTAAAAAAGTAATGATGGTAATCCAGCATCTGACAACAAAGACAAACTCAAGACAATTCAGCCAATTCAGCCTATGACAGTTCACAGTCTCTGGATATTCTGTAAAAAGCTTGAGCAAACTCCTATGTTATATTTGTAATATAAATCACCTCCTGGAAAGTGAAAGTTGCCAGTCAAATACTGTCTAAAATTAGCTTAGATATGTCAAAGAAAAAGATATAATATTCAAGAAATGTGCAGTCAAACCAATCAAAAGTATATCTGCTACAAGGACATTTTTTGTACAAGTGTTTTAACTAGTCATGCAAGTAATTCTATCAAAAGTACGTACACCCACCAGCAACAAATCTCTGGTTTTTTTGGGGGGGTGGGAGGGACAAACTGTAATTACAGTGTCAGTGCCAGTTTTCCTCACTCCATACTCTGGTACTTGACAGTGAAGGATTATTTTTTCTCGGATAAGCTGTCCCTTTACTAAGGCAATAAATGTAGATAATGGTACGTACTTAATATTAAGCATTGTTGACACCCTTTATTCAAATACATATTATGTAAAAGAAAACACTCTTATTAAGAAAAAAAAATGGGAAATGCCTACAAGATATACAGGGGTATTCTTTCTTTTGTTGGGGATGAGGGAATAGCTGGAGGTAATATATCCACTTATCCACCTTTTGCTTTATACGTCAAAGGCTCAAGAATGACAAGAATTCTCTGGCTTTTCTTAATCGCATCTTCAGCAAAAAGAGCCTAAACGGATTCTGCTCAGTTATGGCAAATACCTGTTCCTTTCATTTAAAAAATGACTAACATCTGATCATTGCTAGATGGGATAGCAGGAGCTATTGTTGCTGCCATATCAAGCACATTAAGATTCAATGTCAGCACTACCGTCAGATCCACAACAGCAAGTCTGATTAGGTCACTCCTTTAAAACAAGCAAGCAAACAAACAAACAAACCCAAACCCAGATTGATTTGTTGGAACTAGTAAATTAATTTCTACACAAGCTGTTGGCTTGCAGTGACTTTCTAGAGCTGATGAATGAAGGAGTTAGTTATTCACTATCACTTTTAAAAATGCTGAAGTTCCAGTACTTCACATGTTTTTAATTACAGAATATTGTTGTATAAATGCTGTGCCTAGGTTTGTAATTTCAACAGGATTTATGAAATAACTAACAAATACTAAGTTTCCAAGTCTCCTATCTTTAATGTAGATGCCAAAACTGAATATTTTTGAGTACTAACGGGATGACTTCTATAAACCAGAACACCAAGTTAATGGACTTGCCCAGACGTTTCCCTTCCTGTCTTCCTACTGGATCCTCAGGCCAGGCTAGGTTACCAGGGCAGATCAACACTGCAGCTGGGAAGTGCTGACCTAGAGCTATCAGTGGAGTCTGTATCTGTTAGTGGCACAGCTCATTTTATGTATCAGTGGCATGGATAACATCAATAAGTCTATATGTGATGCAGGCCACCAGTTCTTTTAGCTGGCAGACAACCATCACCCTACTATCGCTTAACTTTTTTCTGTCTTGCATGGACAAGATCACCTAATTTTGTCCTCTTTTTCCCAAACTAGATCACCATGTCTGCTGTTGAGTCATTCTCTGTTGCTTGTTATTTTATCCATACCAAGGCATTTTGATATACCTGTCAACACAGGAACACAGCTAGATCACCATGTAGGCTTGAATAGAACGAATGGAAAGTGGAAGTAGCTTAACCTATGCAGCAGGTTGGACAGAAATAGAAAATAATGTTTCTGTAACCGACTACCTACAACATGACGAGACCTCATCACATTTATAATTCAATATGCTTCCCCAGGAGCCTAACAACACCTCTGCTCCGTAAGAGCAAAGGGCCCTCTAGCCCTGGCTCCTGTCTGCAACAGCAAGTCCTTAGGGAAGGACATGAGAACAGTGATACTCACTGTCTCTCCTAGACTGCCTCAGCCAGAGGTTTTTTGCCTTTCTTACCTTCAGGTTGCACCTTTTCTTTACTTCAATGGGTTTTATTTCAGTACTTTATTCAATTGAGTTTTGAACCATAAAAAGTTTGTATCATCTATAACACCCTGTCCTAAGTAGTTCCACAGATAACACCTGTGTGAACCATCTCTGCTCTGAACCTGTCATTCACCTCATTCAATGACCCCCTGAGATCTTGCATTGAAGAGATGTAAACAATTTATTCCTAACTACCATTTCCATGTTATAGCTCTCCAACAGGGATAATACACCAGTCCTTGCTTCCCTAGCCTAAACAGTGCCAGCTTACCTTCGGATTCCTTTTACGGAAGCTTTTCCAGACCTTTGATCATGCTTGTTAGTCTTTCCTGAATCTTTTCCAGTCCTTTAATATCCCATTTGAAATAGAAGAGCCTTAGGAGGCCTAGGCTATGCTACGTATTTTATCAGAGCATTGTTTCTTAACAAGAAAGGCTTACAAATATTATAGGTAGGACTGACAGTATTTGCAAGGTGGTGGTTCACTTCCAAAGCAGATTGAGATACAGTTGTAAGGTAGCCATTGTACTTTTCTTTTCAGATGAAAGAAGCAGCAAAAAAAGTAAAAGTAAGGCAAACAATTCAGTATCTGTCTATTAAGTGTATTTAAAAAATGAATAGGAGAGAACTGAATCTCAAAATCTACTTTGAAAGATTCTGGCAAACAGCCAGGGCAATAAGTTCTCTAAACACTGAGCATCACAGTAAAAAAAATGTACAGGTATAACAAAAATCCACCTTGCTGAAATTCTAGCATAGCGTGAATGGGGCAGTCTAGTAAAGTGGTAAGTGAAAGACCACGAGTATGCAATGGATATGAAACAAAACTAATAAAACCCAAAAGACTTATAAAGTATACAAGTATAATAACTATAAGTATTTTTAGAAATGCTATTTTTTTAAAGATTATGTATGTAACAAGTATTTGTTTAAAGAAAATGTAGCTTCTGATAATGCTAAATATTTAGACCCCTGATAGATGGACAAATGTTTTCCCAATCAAAATATTTTCATATATACAAAATTACAAAATAAAATTAATTTATCATAAGCCACTCTAGTTGTGTAAGGTGTGTAAACAAGTGGTTTTGAAAATCCTGTGTGGCTATTACTTGAGCATCTTCATTTCATGTAAGACCAACAGGTCAGGTAGTGAGCTGAACCATGGCAGAGAAGCCAGAAACCCAAGCTCTAGCCACAGTTATGGCATTGATTCATTCTTTGCCTACTTGGCAAGTACTGAAGCCAACACTTTCATTGAGGACATCTGGTCTTTGATCCATTTTAAAGACATAAATTATCTTTTTAAAGCTGTTGACCTACAACTTCTAGTAACATGAAAAATTGTGCAAATGGAGATTGTCAGTTTAGGCCGAAGTGGGGCACACTGTTAAATTTTCAGGACTTTTTCCCTTGCTACTCAGGAAAACTGATACATAAAATGTCCATGCTGAAATGAAACAACTGAGGTATAAGCTATCATGTTGGTCTACCAAAGCTCAGACGGGGGAGCAGTAATGTCCAGCGAATTTGGGATGGGTAACTGGAGCCACATAATCTTAACCTACCTCTGCAGAAGTGAGCAAAGCTTATCTTATCAAAAGCCCTAATCAAACCTAAGTGCCATTGTGTCTGCTGACTTTCTGTGGGATTTGTCCTCATGGGCAATTTGAGTTCCCTTGGAAATGCCAACCTTTGCAATTACACGCTGGCTGTCATACATAATGGGAAGGACTGGATGATATCACAATGTTCTTCACATCTATTTCATGTAATAAGCTGCTCCGAAAAGAAGGCTATCTACTGCCCATAAGGCAGTTTTGTTTCAGGTTGTGCATAGGGTAGTTTTATTGTAGCCCTTTTGAAAAAACACACTAAAAAATCCACAAGTACCAGGAAGAATTAAAAGCAGAGAAGACCAAAATGAATAAATAAAAAATATCTGTCACTGCAGCTGACTTTGTAGACTACTATGCTTAACACAGGACTTCCAGTAGTATTTTGAGGAACCCAACTGTTTACACAATCTGTGAGATGACAGGTAAATTGGAAATACTATATATTAGAATAAAAGATAATTACTTAGTGAAGACAGAGTTACTGTAGTTAGGTCTCTGTAAGTCCAAGACTATACTCACCAAAATTCCCTCAATAAAAGCAGGTGACTAAGACATGTGTCAA